TCCTAAATAAGGCCTGAGATTAGACCACTGTACTGAATTGTCCTTTAACATTAAAGCTCAAAAGAGGTGACTGATTTCCCCAAAAGAAAGCCTTTCATTTTGGGAGTATAAACCCACTGTCTCACTCTTGAGTACCTGTGAAGTGAATGTGAAATATTGAGATAATACCACCCCCACACCAGGACAACTGCAGCTAATTCTAGTTCATTGCCATTCAAGTTGTGTAAACAACTGTCTAGGGCCAATTTTGGTGGGAGTCAAAGAAAGCCAGGGACGATCAGCCCAGAGATAAACCAGTCCTCTGTTTTTAGCCTAAGGTACTGGTAGATCCATAGAAGTAATTCAGTGTTCCATAATATCAGAAATAGACATGAAATAATGTTTAAATATCTTATTATCTTTAAACTATTTTTTCTTTCCTGTAGTCAACAGTGTTGTTCCTATTTCTTTTGATAAAGTGTCACACTTTCACCCAACAAATTGAAGTGCTTTAATTTGATTCTATAGCAGTGATTTTTAAACATTATTTTCTTAAGTATTTGTAATCTGAAATGGTAACACCAATTCCGAAGATACTTTCATTCCACTCAGTCACTTTTATCTGAAGCAATATATTGCAATTTTATGTGGTGTAATTTAGCGCCTCTTTATATAGGCATACCCATTGCATCACTTCAGTCTTTCTGACACACAATTTTGCTTACACAAGCTGTTAGTGAAAAATATTATCCCAGTTGTGGTCCTAAGAGGAAACCATACTCTGTTTAAACATCTGCAATTTTCTCTAACATTTCTAAATCTGTTTAGTATTAATAATAAAAAGGTATCCCATTTCCTCTTCTGTAGCAGGTCAAAATCTATTTTCAGTGTGAGTATCTACAAAGATGACACTACAGCTTTTACCCGTCTCAATTATATGGGCAGTCATAGGTGAATCAGTTTAATGTAAAAACATTAGGTTTTTATATGGACAGTCTAAAACTATTCAGGCTCAACATCTAGCCTACCTTAAAAATCATCAGGGTCAAATGCTTATCTGATATAAATTTGCATAATAACACTGGGTTCAGCTTTCCAAGCTATCATTCCTGGATGTGCTTCCCAGATTAGCATCACCAAGGAGGGAAAATATTTCTAAATGCATATTTTTAAAAACAAAAAATATGTAATCTGAGTGCAATAGTGTTGCTGATGAGGATGGTGTGGGTATCCTTTAAGTGGCATAGCTCAGGATTCACTCCAATCCATACTTGTATTTATATAGCTTCTTATGGATAATCATGTTTTCCAGATTTGAAGCTCCACCTTTTGCCAAGACTTGGTAGTACAGTTCAGAATATCCTGTCCTTCATTGTGTTGTTACATTAAATGTGAGAGCCATTAATATTTTAGACAGCATAAACACTGATCATAAAAGTTCACATTCCTAAAATTTAAACTTTGCAAAGAATATGTTGGATCTCCATATGAGCAGCCAAAAAGAAAAGTATTTGTTTAGTGCTGACTATTTCAATAAAATCTTTAAAGATTTGTGCACTTAAGTAAAATTAAAGTTATGCAATATGATGAAAACAATTTGATGTTGGGCAAGATTTTCAAACCTGGGTACCTGAAGTAAAAAAACCAACAACAAAAAACTTATATTTGATCAGGCAGTTAAATAAGTGCCTTGGTTTTCAAAAGTGCTAAGAATCTAACACTTAAGGCAGGGGCAGGCAATTATTTCAGGAGGAGGGCCACTTACTGAGTTTTGGCAAGTCATTGAGGGCCGCATGACAGGGAGCCAGGGGCAGATAAACACTAATTTTCTAAATTTTTTAGGGGCCCTGTGGGCTAGATAGAATGGCCTGGTGGGCTGCATCTGGCCCCCAGGCCACATTTTGCCCAACCCTGTCTTAAGGGCTTCAAAGAGGTGCTAGTGTGCTTTTTCAGTTGCTGCCATTTAACAGTGTTTAGGTTCAGTGAAAAGAAACCCTCCAACAATCTTATTGAAACTGGAGAGGAAAACTAGAGAAGCAAAATATAACTTTTTAAAGGTAAGGTAAGAACAGTGAAAGTGATACCTCTGTCTGAAAATTGATGAGAGGAACTTTAATTGCTACAGATGGTCATGTGATTTTAAATTTCATCTAAAAATACATGAGTCAGGCTACTCTGGCAGGATAACTTTGGGAAGTTAACTTTTAAAGTTTTCATTAATAATTCACCAACACTATATGTTACTTTAAAACTAGGGGCCCAGATTCACGAGTGGGACTTAGGCACCTAAGTCCAATATTCCAGCCCCAATTATATTTATAAACACCACATTAGCTGCCATCTAACCTTAGAGATGCCTAAAGCCCTTATGTGCCTACATTTTAATTATGAAGTTCCTGAGGTCCCTACATTTCTGGTGCAGGGCATACCCACAAATGCTGAACTCTTAAAACTTGCATGGGTTTAGTACCTTGCTCATTCCTCTGCTCTGGCTCACTTGACACTGCCCTTCAGTCTTACCCATATGATCATGTATGTGTTCTTAGAACATGCACAAAGAAGAAAAACAGAAAGTAATTCTGCCAGCCCCACTAACTGCCTTCTAGGCTAGGGACAGACATTACACATACACTGGTTTAAGTGATCAGAAACTGGTTTAAACCTGTAACAGAAAAGATGTTCAGTGCACATAAACCAGTTTGAAAATGGCTGAAACTGGTTGGAGATAAACCTGGTTGAATGTAGTATCAGACTTAACTGATTTGGCTCAAACCAGTTTCTGCAATGTTTGTCCCAGACCCCTTGCTGGTTTAAGATAAACCAGACTTCCCCAGCATCCCAGCATGTTCTCTGAGCTGAGTGGGGCTTCACAGCAGGGCTGGCCCCTCCCCTCTGCTCCCTGGCTGGAGCTCCAGCAGAGACTGCAGGTACAGCAGGGTCTGCTGGCTTCCCCTTGCCCTACCTCTCCCTCACTGTTTGCTGGACAAGCAGGCATCCTCCCTTCCCTGCCTCCCTCCTATCTCCCACAGCACAGACCCCAGCCCTACAGATCCTAGGCATGTGGTATGCTAACTAATGCCTAGAGGTGCCTTTGTGTGTGAGTGTCTCCAATTTCACTGGGACAAGCAGACAGAACAGTGAACACTTGGGGCTTTTTGGAGCTAATCAGGAGATCAGCTGGTAAGCTGTTTAAGAGGAGTTTGAACTAATGTAGAGAGGATATTGTTTTGCTGATGAGGTGATAAACACTGTTATCAGTCCCCTGCTGGCTTGCTTGCCTGTCTGCTGCAGAAAGTATGAAGAAGCAGGGAGAGGGAGATTGAAAAGCTCTGCATCATCAACAGGACCACAGGTATAGATGGCTATACCTTGTACAGGAGAGATCATGTGGAAAAAAGGGCTGGAGTAGCCCTCTATGTCCAGGAAAGCTACATGTCCCTGCAAGCTGACATCATCACCCATGGAGGATGACTGGAGACCCTCTGGGTTAAAATACTTGGGGAATGTGGCACAGGGGACACAATGGTAGGAGTCTACTACAGACCTCCAAATCAGGAACAAGAGCTTGACCAGGAATTTACCAGGGAACTGGCTGAGGCTGCACGCTCTCGGTGCATGGTCGTCATGGGAGACTGCAACTACCCAGACATCTCATGGGAAGAGCACTCGGCCAAATCTGAACAGTCACAAAGCTTTCTCATGTGCATGAATGAGCTCTACTTGACTCAAGAAGTCTATGGACTGACAAGAAGTAAAGCACTGCTGGACCTGGTACTGGCCAAAGGGGGTGATCTAGTCAGTGACCTAAGAATCGAAGGAAAGTTGGGAGACAGTGACCACCAGCTGATCACTTTTACTATCCATCCCAAAGCTGGCAAGTCAGTCAGCAATGCATAAATCCTCAACTTTAGGAAAGCTGACTTTGACAAGCTCAGGAAGCTTGTTGTTGAGGCCCTAAGGGGCCATGACTTGACAGGGAGGGGAGTCCAAGATGTGTGGTTGCTCCTCAAGGGAGCAATCCTGAAAGCACAAGGGGTGTCCATCCCATCTTGGAGGAAAGGTAGCAAAAGGGCACAGCAACCCCTTTGGCTTAGCAAGGAACTTGTGGACCTCCTACATCTAAAAAGAGAGGCTTATAAAGGATAGAAGACCTGAATCACCACAAAGGAGGAGTATTCTGAACTGGTCAATACCTATAGGGAGCGAACCAGGAAAGCCAAGGCTGCAACCCAACTCTAGCTGGCTACATGTATCAAGAACAATAAAAAGTCCTTTTTCAGATATGTGGGGAGTCAGAAAAAAAGCAAGGGTAACATTGGACTTCTGCTAAACTGAATGGGACAATTGACAACCAACACCCAAGAAAAAGCCAGTCTGTTTAATGGGTACTTTGCATTGGTTTTTCACCAGCCCAAAGGGACTGCCCTGCCTAACATGATATGGGATGGCCAGGGTGAGCGTGAATTTATACCCAGCATCGGTGTAGACCATGTAAAGGGACACCTTGAGAGGCTGGACACCTTTAAGTCACCTGGTCGTGACAGCTTGTACCCCAGAGTACTTAAGGAGCTGTCAGGCATCATAGCCCAGCCACTGGCAAGGATCTTTGAGAACTCATGGCCTTCAGGTGAAGTACCTGAAAATCGGAAGAAGGCCTATGTGCTGCCTATCTTCAAAAAAAGGAGGAAAGAAGATCTGGGTGTCCAGTAGCCACCGGGTATAGGTGTGTACCCTTATGCCCTGATGACATCCACTCACCCTCTTGGAGTGGCTACAACCTATGGTCGGTCTAGGTGGGATCTTAAGCTCTCTCTCTTCCTGCCTGCCATGACTTTGCTGTTAAAGAAATGTTATTGAAAGGGAGGTGGTGACTACCCACCTCCACCTCAACTGACCGCCGGTCCTTGCCCCAGTGCCCAAAACCCTGGGAAAGGATGGGGAAAATAATCATCTGGAGGTAAGTCTCTTTCTTTTCTTTTTTTCCCTTCCTTTTATTATATTTTTTTTTCCTGGGTTTTTTTTTTCTCCTTTTTAGTCTGACTGCTGCTGAACCAAGTTGCAAGACACTTGAGTTCCCATCATTCCACAGGTGTAGCAGTGGCTTCCTCACAGCCTTGGGTTTTCCCTGTGTTCCTCAGCACATTGGGGAATCTGCTGTTCTCTTCTGCTAATTGCTGCCCTGCCGGACTTAATTGGTGGCATCTGACCCCTTAACAAGCAGGTGAAATCCTTGCCGCTGCTAGGCAGCATGTGGTGGGGAGGGTTTGGTGTTCCCCATCACTCTCTCACTGGCTTGTACCAGCTTTGCATCCCCGGGTCCCACAGTGGAACCACTGGGGCAACGGATCCTTCTTCCCTCCACCTGGGAGCCATCTGTTTCCTTTTAAAAATCTTCATTTTGCCACGGCTGTCTCAGGCTCAAATGGACAGCCCGCAGCGATGGGTCCGCGCCTCCCCGGAACTGGAGCAGAGCAAGAAAAAAAAAACAAAAAACAAAAAACCCAGGCAAACCACAACAAAAAAAACAGAGACAATGGCTCAGGAGCACCCTCCTCTTCACCCATTTTTAGCGTGCTTCATCTGCCTCTTCAGGGCCCAATTGGGCGCTTACCTGGCCCTTGGCATACTCCCCCCATGTCTCTTACCCTCAGGCTTCCTTCTCACCATTTCCTCTCGTCCTCGCTCCTCCCCCCTTTGGCTCTTTCCCTTGCCCCTGTATATTGCCCCGGTGGCAGATGGGCACCAATCCGTCTCACCTGCTGAGGTGGTAAAGCTGGGCTGGGGTGAACCGGGAGCTCCCACCACAGCACGGAAGTCTTGCTTCAGTGAGGTCCTTGTTCCTGCTTGGTAAGGCATCCTGGGTGAATGTCTTCCAGCCCCTTACACTGGGGAACTACAAGCCAATCAGCTTGACCTCAATCCCTGGAAAGATTTTGGAAAAAAATTATTAAAGAAACCATTTTAGACATCCTGAGGGATAGCCAGCATGGGCTTCTTGCCTGACCAATCTCATTTCCTTCTATGACCAGGTGACACATCACCTGGACAAGGGAGAAGAGATTGATATAATATATCAGGACTTTTAAAAAGCCTTTGATCTGGTGTCCCATGATTTCATGGAAAAATTGGCCAATTGCGGCCTCAGCTACATCACAGTCCAATGGCTGGGGAAATTGGCTCCGACATCAGACCCAGAAAATGGTAGTTGAAGGAAGTAAATCATCATGGTGCTCCGTGTCCAGTGGTGTCCCCTAAGGCTCCGTCCTTGGACCTGTACTCTTTAAAGTCTTCATTAACGATGTAGACACTGGTGTCAGAAGCGGACTGGCCAAGTTCGCTGATGACACCAAACTTTGGGGTAGAGCATCCACACCTGAGGATAGGCTGGTGATCCAGGCTGACCTTGATAGGATTAGAAAGTGGGTGGATAAAAACCTGATGACATTCAATATGGAACTGGGCCTCTGGTGTGTCCTGCTTCAAAATAGATGTCATGATGCGTGTTTCTGGGCACCCTAGCCTTATGGGCTATGCATGGCTCCAACCTCACCTTTACCACACCCCAACCCTTGCAGATGGTACTGATGTTGTCCGGTCTGGGCCTTGTTGTAATTTGGCCCTCTTGTCCTCCCTGGGCTCTCCGCAGCCGAAATGCCATGCCCTCTCTGGTGCCGGGGCTCTCTGCAGCCCAAATGCCACGCCCTCTCCATGCTGCCATGGGCCCCCAATAAGGCCTCCTCCTTCCCCTAATAGCCTCATCCAAACCACTGGTCTTCTACAACAGCAAACAAAACACAAGCCCCTGGGCTATAACATAAATTCAAGCCACCCAGCTATAACATCATTCAAGAAACACCAGGGGTGCTCCATCTCTCACCAGTATCAGAAACTTTACTGGTAATCAGGCCTCTCCCCTTTGTTTGCTCTGGGAGAGTTCCTTCCCCCTTGGCTGCTGGGAGGGAACTGCCTTCCTGGCCTCAGCCCTGGGGTTTATATATGAGCCAGGCCCTGCCCCTTCTGGTCAGCTTACCAATAGTAGGTGTGGGCCCCTAGCTCATTCTGGCTGCCCTGGTAACCAGCAGCTGGGG